TTCTCGATGACCAAAAAAAATTATTGTGGTGTAGTAAATGAAACGAACGTGTCCTCTGCGTTCCGAAAGTTCATCTCCTATGTCGATGAATTTTCTCTCCCTCTGTCTCTCACTGGCCCACTCCCACGCTCTGGTCTCTCTCATTTATAGGATCCTTTTGTTCTCAAAGTCCAAATTATCTGTCACCAAATTATCGAAAAAAAAACAGCCGAAAATTAATTAACATTGAATAATCTCTGACGGTGGGTTTCGAGGTTCGTTGCTGAAACAATAGTGACTAAAAAACGGAAGAGAAATTAAAGATCGCGTGAATAGTTTGAGCCCTTTTTAGCCACTGTGTAAAACGGTGGCATATTTTGCGCGATCTATTGCCGTAATATGGTAAGATAACGTAGGAGTGGAATAATTCAACTTGTGTATCGTAGGATCAGATCATATTTCTCAAGCAAATTTAACCCTTAATGAAGAAAAGCTACTTCGCTTGGCATCAGCTCTCTCACAAATCAAAGTTCATTGAGACGGAAGAATTCTTCAGAGTATTGAACTCTACATAAACGATTTTTTTTGGTGCTAAAATTAAGAAAATGATTAAGTTTCTAGGCAGAGACCACCATGAGACTTCGGATCGAGTGGATCCATTCGTTCGACTCCGTTGATGCTAATGATCAACTATCGCTATTTTCTTCATGCGACCACAACATGATTAGTCTAAACTTAGAAAGCTATCAGCCCTCTGTGTGAACAGATTACGATGAAGGCATTAAAACTTAAGGATAAGTTGTAGCATTACCATGATATCGAACGAACGGAAAAGACAATACTTACCGTGCTCTTTGCTTTTGAAAGTGAAACCACTCACGATAGTAATCGTACACCATCGTGACTCTAAGTGACCCATTAAAGCCAAGCCATCACGCAGTCTTCGTCGTCACGCCAGGCTACTTGTACTGACCCTTATATTGTGTCAGTAATTGCAAGTTGTTTTACAGCATGTCACGTTTTCGAAAATAGCGAACATATATTGAAAGGTGGCGGAAAGCTTCATCTTACCCTCCCCTTCTCTCCATTCCAAACTGACCTCAGTTTTATAATCTCTTGTCTTTGACTCCTCTCAGTTCTTTTCCTTCAGTTTTCCTTCCATAGTAACTTGCAGACTTCGACCATTTTTGATAAGTCCTGCATGCTGGTTCCTAAAATCATTACAAAAACCAAACGCACAGCGCTTCTTTATGCAGCACGAGTCTAAACTGAAATCAATTCAGTCAGGCAGCGCAACACAATTTGCATATCGATTTATAAGGATTTGTACGGGATTATAAATTGATATGCAAATTGTGTTCCTTGTGTGGTTCTTTAAGAGAGCTTGGGCCGCCTGTGACTAAGTTTGCTTAACGATATGTTAATATTTTTTACCACTTTTAAATTCGGTCAAATATGCGGGCCTACGGTGGCCCAGAAGGCTCAACGCAAACAAAAAATCATGACTGCAGCAAATAAAAAATATACTGCAGCAAATAAAAAAATCAGAACGCAAAGAAAAAAGTACCTCAGCAAATAAAAAAATGCAACGCAAACAAAAAATACCGCAGCAAATAAAATATGCAACGCAAACAAACAAAAAAAAGAAAACGCAAACAAAAAAAGTGGAACGCAACGCCAAGGAAGACTGGGTAATAGTTCTTAGTTTCCCGCCAACACTCGTTCCATCCTTTGCTTGTTCGCCTTTCCGAAACCATGTTTTGCAGCGAACTTATGACAGTACCATGCTGCTCCTTTAAAAAATCGATAATAACTCTATTTTCATACCCTTGATGAAAGTAATCTTCTATAATCCTACGCAGATCGCTTTCGTCCATAACCAAAAGCGAGTTCCAGTTCATGCTGTTTTGGCGGGAAACTAAGAACTATTACCCAGTCTTCCTTGGCGTTGCGTTC